GTGTGTGTGTGTGTGTGTGTGTGTGTGTGTGTGTGTGTGTGCAAGTATACATGATTGTGTGTGCATGCTTGGTCATATGTGTGCCTGTATGTTTCTGGGAATCAGACTCAGGATTATACATGCTGAGCAATGACTTTACCACACAGCTGTATCCCCGCCATGCAATTAAAAAGTCACTTGCATATATGTGAGTGTGTATGCATGCACACATGTGGGTTCGTACATGTACATATGTATATGTACATATATGTGTGTGTGTGTGTGTGTGTGTGTGTGTACATATGTGTGCATTAGAAGATGGAGCTGGAGATATAAGTGTTTTAAAGTGCTTGCCTGATATGCAGAAATCCCTGAGTTTGACCACCTCCGGAACTACAAAAAATTAAAAATAAGTAAAGCTAAGTCAAGTTTTTTGTGTGTGTACCCTGAGACCTCCACACCACCTTTTTCGCCATGCTCCCTCTCAAACCAGCTTCATTCCCCCTCCCCAGTGTTTGCTGGTGCCTCCCTCATTATTCCCACTGGATAACCTCACTTTTCCACTTTGATTTGTGAGACACAAGAGAGGCGACACCTGCTACCGTCCAATCCCAGCACTGCGTGGGAGCCAGTGGGGCCAACAAATGGTCAGAGAGTCTCCAAGCAGTCAGCATACTGGCTAAGGTCTGCAATTCCAGGGCATAGGAAGTTGAGGCAGAAGGATTGCCCTGAGTTGGAAGGTGACCTATGTTATTATGTGAGATCCTGTCTCAAAGCCAAAGCAAATCAAAAGGCCCTCCAAGCACTTGCTTCTATTATCATTCCTTCCTTCCCAGACTCACATTTTACATGGAAGAAGAGTTAAAAGGGACACATGCAAGCTTTTATTTTTTTAAGGTTATAAATGACCCCAGAGAATAAGACACCTTAGCAAACACTAATCACAGAACAAAAACCTCTCAGATCAAAACTTTTTCCAAACTCATCTTCACTGGCCCTTCTAACCCTTTCATCGTGGAATGCCAGTAGGTAATTAATTCAAAACTTAAAAACACCCACACAAGAAAGAAAGTGACTTTTTTAAAAAAAAAAAAAAGTAACTGCAGAAGAAACCTACTAGTGGTTAAAGAACCCCTTCCTGCCACAAAAGCAAACAAACAAACAAAAACAATCTCACTAAATAAGCATTTAAGTGAGGCACTCCACAACTCCACAGCTGCAGAGCAGTTCATCATGGCCCTGCGGAAATAAAAACACCCCAGACCACAGTCCTCTGTGGAAGCAACTTATACACCCCGACAAAGCTCTTTTACTCAGATTGGAAAACAAGATCCCGTAACTTCCTTTGGGGAAAGTTTGAGTAACTCTAGAAGTAAACAAAATCTTTTATATAAAAAGAGGTTTATTAGGTGGATATGGAGAGAGAGAAGGGAGAGCAGGACATGATGGGGGAAAGAAAGAGAGAGGGGAAAGAGAGAGAAAGGACCAAGAGAGTGTAAACAAAATCTTAACCAAGTTTTAAACTGATTCCTCTTCAGTAGGCCACCAGGTGCTTATTGCCTTCCTCCATCCAAAAGGTCACCCCTCTTCCCGCCCTCCCTTCCGATCAATGATAGAAACGAATGCTAGGAGGCTCGCAAGAGCAGACAAAGGAACGGAGTAAGTCCAAATTGCAAAGGCCATCCCAGGGATCTAAATTTGTTGGCGCTGTGTCGCAAAATGTAGGGGGAAAAAATTAATTCTAATCTAAAATTAAATCATCAGTGGCCAAGCATGGTTTTACTGGGGGCGCAAGCAAGCGACCTTAACAAATTAAGGCGGAAATCAAGAGACTCACAACTACAGGAAGCGGTGACTCACAGCCTTCCGAATGCTGCAACCCTTTAATACAACGCCTCATGTTGTGGCGACCCCCAACCATAACATTATTTTGTTGCTACTTCATAACTGAGATTGTGCTGTTGTTATGAACCGTAAGGTAAACACCTGATAGGCAAACCCCTGAGAGTGGTTGAAAATCACTGCTCTAGAGAATGACCTCTAATAGGATCATGCCCAACACTGTTTATCAGTTAATTTCTTCATCTGAAATTTGTGAGTGAAACTGATAATGTATTTAAATTATTTCCTGGATGCCTTCCACCTCCAGAGACTCTCCTCCTCCCCTCCTTGTTACCCTCTTCCTCAAAACCTTGTATAGACAATTTTATAGTACGCACTCAGAAAATCATCAACTTTATTGTTACACTAACTTGCAAAAATACTTTATTTCAACCCAAATCAGGAGTCTCTGTTTTTATAAAGTCTTTAAAATAGAATTTACAGCTGGGTGTAGCGGACACACAAGTCTGTAATCCCAGCACGTGGGAGATGGAGAAACAGGAGTGTAAGACTGATCTCAGCGACACAGTGAGTTGGAGACCAGCCTGGATACGGGAGACTGTCTCAAGGAGAGAGAGAGTAGCGCTTACTGGATTACTAAGCAAACGCACTCCTTTGAACTCAAGATGTACATCTTGAGCTGGACTGATGAAAAGAACAGACAAGACAAACAAAAAATGCTGGAAATTTGTTTGTTTGGTTTTTTTTTTTTTTTCTTTTTATGAAAGTGGGTAATGACAAGGGAAGCAGGGGGTTGGGGGTGGCGTGTGTCCTGCAGATAAACTGTGTTAGGTTAAACAAACAGTTAGGAAAGACAGTTTTGACTCTATCCGTCCTGAAAAGAAAATATCCAGTGGTATCAGGTAAAAGGGAATTAAGTTTTAAATGAATGGTGTCCTTCAGGAAGATATTTATTTAAAACTCAGTTCACCGTATGTGACTTAAAGAGAAAGATGGGATCTATAGGTACAGTCACAACTGAAGAGCTAAGGAGTTAGGGCAGAACTTACTCAAAACACACATGCTTTTCCATAAGCTCAATGTGTACCTTTTGTAACAAACTTTTTAAAATCCCCTGACACACAGTTCTCATGGCATAACTTTGAAGGAAACAGTAATATTTTTTTTCATGGGGAAGGGAACAAAATTGGGGGGTTTGTTTGTTTGGGGGTTTTGTTTGGTTTTTTGGGATAAAATCTCTCCACATAGCCCTGGTTGTCCTGGAACTCACTATGTAGACCAGGCTGGTCTCAAACTCACAGAGATCCCAGGCACTAGGATTAAAGGTACTTACCACCATGCCTGTCCAGAGTCTTAGGCAACAAGAAACAACCCTTCCCAAGAGAAAACAAAACAAAACAAGGTATGGCCCTGTTCTTGCTGCAACTCCTTGCAGCACCTGTGTTAGAAAAAAAAAAAAAAATTGCAACAGAATGCCACTTTAAGACCTTGGGTTAGTGATAGACAGATGGCTTAGAGGTTAAGAGCACCAGCTGCTCTTCTAGAGAACCTGGGTTTAATTCCCAGCACCCACATAGCAGCTCTCAAGTGTTTGTAACTCCACCCCCAGGGGTCCCAACACTCTCACATAGACACATGCAGGCAAAACACCCATGCACATGAAATAAAAATAAATAAATCATTTTGCAAAATTGAAAGAAGTTGGGTTAGCTACTGCAAGGTTGAGAAAACACGCCTGTATTCCAGGACAATGGATAGACTGCCTTTAAGTCTCTAAAGTATTTACAGGGTAGGGTGGTGCACACCTTTAATCCTCAGGCAGAGACAAGTAGATCTCCAGGAGTTCAGACCAGGGAGCCTTGTCTGCATAATGAGTTTCAGGCCAGCGAAAGCTACAGAGTGAGATCTTATCTTAAACAAACAAACGAAGACTTAAATAGCTGCTTCTGTCTTAGAAATGCCCTTCGCTCCACAACCCAGTAGCTGCTCTGAAGGAAGAAAAAGAACTTGAAACCAGCTGTCCTTGGTTGAAACTAGCCCTTCCCGATGAAGCCCGACCCAGTAGCATTGTTGTGATCTGCACAACTTCAGAACTGGAAAGCAGGGAGTGGCAACGGGGGGTTAAAAAGCCCAGATCTCAGAAGGCTGAGGCAGGAAGACTGCAAGATCAAGGCCGGCCTGTGCTAGAGAAACTCAGTCTCAGGAGGGGAGAGGAGAGGGAGAGGAGAGGGAGAGGAGAGGGAGAGGAGAGGGAAAAGAGAGGGAGAGGAGAGGGAGAGGAGAGGGAGAGGAGAGGGAGAGGAGAGGGAGAGGAGAGGAAAGGAGAGAAGAGAAGGAAAAGGAGGATGGTGGGGGAGGAAAAGACTAATAAATAATTATCATTATTCGTCTCAGTAATTCATATCGCAAAAACTTGAGACAGTTGCCGTTTTAATAACCTGTCATCTAAAAATTTAAAGAGAGAGAGAGAGAGATCTGTGGGGGACGTGAGCATGTCAATAGGGATGGCATTACTTTCCCCTGACATGATTCAAAACCTCAAATCTCTGTGGAAGGGTCCCATTACACTTTTATGTATGTTTCTTTAAAAGCTATTTTATGCTTCATGTGGTTCAGGGGAAACTATGGAAACTTCTTTTCATGCACAAGAAGTCAGTAAGTTTCTTAGCCCTCCCTCAATATGGTCATGGAATGTCATGCAGCCCTCATCTTTCTTTAAGAACATTGCCAGT